ACACACACACACACGCACACAAACAAACACACAAACACAAACAAACACGCACACACACGCACACACAAAAACACGCACACAAACAAACACACACACGCACACACAAACAAACAAACACACACAAGCACACAAACAAACAGACACAGAAACACGCACACACACACAAACAAACACACAATATATATATATATGTGTGTGTGTGTATTTATATATATATATATATTCATACATACACGATATATATGAATTCAGATATAAAAACATACTTGCATCTTCAGAATTTATGTTAAGGTTCATTTATATTAACTTTGGGGTCTGTAACATTTTACATTTTTGAAAGAAATCTTTTATGTTCACCAAGGCTGCATTTATTTGACCAGAAATACAGTAAAACTAATATTGTGAAATATTATTACAATTTAAAAGAATTGTTTTCTATTTTTATATATTTTGAAATGTAATTTATTTTGCCGTTATCAAATCTGACTTTTTTCAGCATCATTACTCCAGTCTTCAGTGTCACATGATCTTCAGAAATCATACTCTTATCATTTCAGAAATTATTTTCTAATATATGCTCAGAAATAGTTCTAATTAATGTCAATGCTCAAAAGAGTTGTGCTGCTAAATATTCTTGTGGAAACTGTGATACATCTATTTCAGGACTCTTTGAAGAACAGAACGTTCAATAGAATTTTCTTAGAAGATTTATTTGAAATAGAAATCTTTTGTAACATTCTAAATGTCTTTGGAGTGATATAATGCCATTCAGTAGCATTCAAAATGTTGGGGCTAAGATTTGTTTTTTTTAAACATTATGCTCACCAAGGCTGCATTTAAAACGGTAAAAAAACAGTAATATCTGAAATATTATTACAGTTTAAAACAACTGTTTTCTATGTGAATGTTTAGTAAAATGTCATTTATTCCTGTGATGTAAAGCTGAATTTTCAGCATCATTACTCCAGTCTTCAGTGTCACACATCAAATCAGCATATTATACTGGGCTGCGTTCAGCTCCGACAAAACGGTGCAAAACGTGTTTTAAACAGAAACGGTGGTGCGTTCAACACTCTGTTCTGATGACGCAAGAGTGCAGCTACGGCAGCTGAGAAGGCCATGCTTTGTGCTCTTTTTGAAGAATTTTCGGAGTCTGATGAAATCAGTATAAATACGTGTTTAATACGGCAAAATACACTCGATGTTACAGTCACTGCCCTTGCCGTCCAGAATAAAAGAGAACATCCCAATCCAGTGAAGGGGTTTGTGGAAACTGTGCTTCCTAATTATTGTGATCCAACATGTGCCTCGCATTTCAGGAAGAAAAGACAAACATTTCAGGTGAAGGATAATCCACTTCTTA